TTTTTAAACTCAAAGAATACTTTATACCACTTTCTGTTTTGCTCGAAATTCTTCCATGCAGGTGAATCTCTTGGATGACTCATTTTGCCATCTTCACTTGGAAGAGCACGATCATGCCAGGTCATTGCCACCGCTGTCTTCTTACACTTGTAAAGTCTCTGCAACCTCTGTGTAATAGGAAAATATCGTACTACCTTGAGAGGTATGTTATTCTTGCTAGTATGTGCTTTCTTCTTATATCTGGACACTCCACAAGTAGGGCACTCTTTCTTATATGAGTTTTCTTTCCAGTACAATACACAATCATTGGGACATGCATGAATCTTCTCACAATTTAAACCCAAATTAGACATTATCTTTTGAGCTTCATACCAGCTATCACGGACATTGTTCCCAAGAGGTATAGAACCTTTCAAGAATTTAAGAAGCATCGTGAATGACTTGTTGCCCCATTTGTTTAGGCACTTAATCTGGAAAAGTTGAACGAACCATGACATCGTGGAATATTTTGCATTCTCATAAATCGGTCTCCTAGCATCATTCATGTACTTCTCATACTCATCTACATATTGTTCTTGTCTGGGAGGACTATCTTCAACATGATTAGGGTCACCGAAAGCAACCTCTACCATTTCCTCCATCTCCTCTTCCGGAAACAAGTTAATATCGTCAACTTCTTCGGCATTAATGGGAGTTAGAATTTCTCTGTGATATACCCAAGTTGTATAGCCTCTAATAAAACCATACTTAACAATGTGAAGTTCTACATCTTCCTCTTTACGATGCAAAGTATTCCCGCAATGGCTACACGGACAAAGAATCATGCCATGTTGGATCTTATCGTGTTCACATACAAAGTTCATAAAAGAAGCAACTCCTTCAATGAACTCAGGCTTTGTGCGTTTTTCACGATTCATATACATCCAATCCTTAACCCTGATATAATCACGGGCCATGATAATCTAACCAAGACAGAGTTAGTGATAACAACTCATAAATTAAGCACGCTTGCACTAATTTTCAAAAAATTATAAAAACTATATAGTTTGGTATAAATAAATTTTATTTACTTGTTTAAATTTAATCACAATTTTCATAAATGTGAAACATGCCTAGTGCATCAAATATTTATTATGTGTATGAAATTTTCACTAGATTTCTTTGGTGAATTTGTTGTCTATGAAATGTTTATGTACGTATTTCTCTTACAGGAATTTCATCAAGTATTAGGCTTAATCTCTCACAATACTAATTAGGCTTTTGATTTAGCATCAAAGATATCCAAACATAATATTATCCTACAATCCTAATTGAATTAAAGTTTACATATTCTTTAATTGGAACACTACAACTCACTTTGATTAGACATTACAATAATTAGGCACAAATAGTAGTCGTTAGAATCATACCACACAAATTTCAAATGTTAATCTTAATACAAAAATTAAAGCCCTAGCTATCACATTCTCTCAAAACTTCTGACTGTAGATAAAAAATGCACATATGAAACATTCTCAGAAACTGAATTGCTCAGGTCTAAATTTATTTTTATTTCACATTAATTTTCAGACATAAATTTAGAATATTCAAAAATATTGTTCTTCAGAAATGATCAAATCTTTTTAGGGGTAAAAATCTGACCTGAGGACCTCCTATGACGCCGACAATCTTCTGTAGCTCAGGAATCAAGCTTCGCCAAGGACTTTAGAAATCACGACGCAAAATAGGAGCGACAGCAGCGGCGATCTTTGGGCGGTGAAAGAGGGGAAAGAGCGGCGTGGCTGCAGTTCACGACGGCGAGAAGGATTAGGCGTTTTGGCGGGCAACTGAGGACAGCAGAGGCGGCGCAGCTGCCTCGGATCTCTGACCAGCGGCGGCACATCTCCGAGCAGGCGGTGGCATGGATCTTCTGAGCGGCGCAGCCACAGTCGCTAGGTCTGATTTGGCGGATATTTTTTTACGATGTGAGAACACGAAGGTCGTGGTTATCTCACGAGCGAGGTTTTGAGCGGGAGAGAGCCGGGGTCGACGTGGCGCGACGATCTGTCGAGCGGAGCGCTGTGGTTCCTGGGTGCAGGTGGGCGAGATATTCTGTCGCAGTGGCGGCAGTCGGTTTTTTTATGGATAGGGTGGAACGCCGAACGAAATGAGGGGCGAGACGGAAGGAGGGTCGGGCAACGAGGGGCCTTTTGCTGTTGTTGTTTCCTTTTTTTTTTGTTTTTGCGTAAAAAAAATCGGGCAAAAACTCCACTGTTGTGAAAATACAAGCCCTAACGGTTGGAATGTTGGGGCTGATAAAGGATGTCCCAACGGTTCTAACCACTCGCTAGGACTGTTGGCTTTTGTACTAGTGGTAGTGAGGTGACATAATACCCTCCACTCATTCAAATGGTTGCATATCTTCATACACTCCTTAACCCATGTGAATATGGTCCCCTATTTGAATAAGTGGAGGGGGTTCTGCCACCTCACAACTAAGAAATAGTGTGGTTTATGAAGAACCAACACCTCCTCCTCTCCGAGCGTGGAATATTCTAAAAATTGACCATTAATTTTAAAAATATGATATTTTTGAGGATTTCTATCTCGACAACCTCATGTAAGAAAACTTGTTTGACAAAAAACGTACATGTTCATCTCAATCTCAATTTTTCGAGAAAAAGATGTAATTTTGAGGTGTACAGTAAAACTTTGTCCAAAGTGAAATTTTTCCGTAAAATTGAATTGTCATGGAAAATCTTGGTTTTCTCTTTGTAAATCTTTGAGTTTATATATGCATCGTTTCGAATTTCTTCCAACTCATTTAATTAGAGCAACCAGATTTTTCCTGCCGAATCTAAGTGAAAATTCAACTATTTAATAGCCCATATTGCTCGGTGTTTCAATTCCACTGGTAGATGACAAGCTTTTCCAAACACGAGTCTATATGGTGACATCCCCAAATTAGCTTTGAATGTTGTACTATGTCCATAGAGCATCACACAATTTTACAGACTAATCTTTTATGTTATGATTAACTGTTTTTTCTAAGATTTGTTTGATCTACCTATTCGTGACATCTACTTGACCACTGGTTTGGAGGTGATAAGGAGTTGATAATTTATGCGTGATCGAATATTTCCGCATCAAAGCCTCAAAAGAACGGTTACAGAAATGTGTATCATTATCGCTAATGATCGCTCGGGGCACTCCAAACCATGCAAAAACATTCTCCTTCAAAAACTTTACAGGTTGTTGTCATTAGTCTTGCAAGCTACCGCCTTAACCTATTTTAACATGTATTCGACGGCTACTAGAATGTAGATATTTCCAAAGGAATTTGGAAATGATCCCATGAAATCAATACCCCACAAATCAAAAAGTTCAACAGGTAAGATGGGTTGTAAGGACATCATATTTCTTCTAATAACTTTCCCTAAGAGCTGACAACGCTTACAGGTTTTGCAAAACTCGTATGAATCTTTAAAAAGAATGGGCCAGTATAACTCACACTGGAGAATTTTTTCAACTGTTTTTCTTAAGCTAAAGTGACCCTTACATGCTTGCTCATGACAAAAGGACAGAACACTCCTAGTTTCTTCGGTGGGAATACACCTACTAAAGATCTGATTAGGATAGTATTTAAACAGATACGGATCATCCCAGTAAAAGCATTATACCTGGGAGAGAAAACGGGACTCATCTTGTTTAGACCAATAAGAAGGGATCTGTTTTATGACCAAGTAATTCACAATATCGGCAAACCATAGAACAGATTGGATTTGTAGGAGTTGTTCGTCTGGAAAATGTTCGTTGATTGAGACGCTTAATGTTGGTGCGTTCGGGAGTCTAAAGAGGTGATCTGCTACGTTGTTTTCTGCTCCTTTTCTGTCAAGAATTTGAATGTCAAACTCTTGAAACAGGAGAATCCATCTAATGAGCCGTGCTTTAGCATCTTTTTTGGTCAAAAAATACTTAAGTGCGACATGATCTGTGAAAACTTTGGTTAAAGACCCGATGAGATAGGACCTGCATTTCTTCCAAACTGATAACACTTCGTATTGTTCAGATCTTACTCCAAAATTAAGAAACTGGTTCTACAGTACAATAACCAGTCTCTCACCATCATTTTATTCAAAAAAAGAACCCATAAACCTTAATTAAAATCAAAATCACTCATTTAAACTAATTAAATTCAAAAACACTCAATTGATTGGGAACTTACTTCTTCTTTGAGATGGACACAGCCTCCGGCGAGCGTCTCCTCTTGTGCTCTCGAATTTCCAGACTTTTCATGCTCAATAGGGTTTTCGTCGCCTCGTTACTCTCCTCATCCTCAGAGGATGTCGGAGCAGAACCGCCGGCGGGAGATATCAAGGCAGAGGCGAAGGCGGATAAGTTTGGCAGTTCCTCTTGCACCAATCGTGCCGACCGATGCCGATGACGAACGTCCAGTTCCGTTTGAGTGTTGTCTACTTCATCTTTGCTACGCTTAGGGTTCTTAGCTATTTCACTTAAAAAAATTTGGGCATTTTCCTTATGGTTTCCTGACCGCTTGAGTGAAACTAGGGTTTTGAAAATGGGTTCGCAAGCTAAGGAAGGTTTTAGGTTGAGGATATTTGGGCGTGTGAAGGAAGAGAGAGAGAGAGAGGGGGGGGAGGGAGGGCAGCCAGGTTTTGGGGGAACAGGTACAAGGGGCAGTTTCGTCTTTTCGTGCCAACTTTTCTCTCAGTGCTGTCTGGGAAATGAAAAAAAAACTGAAACATTATTAACTTGAGTATTGAAGGCTTGTTAACACCAAAAAAAATACATGGGGCTAGTCACATCCCCTTTATTTTTTAGGGGCCTTGAAGCATTTTTACCTTTTATTTTTGAGAATTTGCACTTGAATTTGGATAAAATATTCGAAGACGGTCAACATAATTGTTATGATAAAAATCACAAAACAATGGGAAAAACTCAATGTAGAAGTTCAAGGACAAGTTAAAACAGACTGGAAAACATTCAAAAATATTTTCAATAGTAAACAATCGATGGGTATTTTTCTTCCATGAACAAGTACTAAATTTTCAAATAACTAATGAATAAACCAACCAAACATCCATCTCAATTCACATTGATTAACTAATCGGTTTCTGCACATTTATGTGTAAATTATAAATTGTGTAGGCACTGGAAACTTCCGTCTAATGATTTGACATAAACTTTTGTTCTTCCCTTTGAGTCACCACCATTTGTTCGTCCACGGAAAAAAAATTCAAAACAAGCAACAGGGATGTCTATACTAGTAATGCAGAAAAGAGAACATGTGAATCCATCAACTAAAGTCATAAACATGCCATAATAACAGGAAATTAACCACAGATTATTATGGTGGCAGTATATACTATTCTAACAATAAATAGATGCAAATAAAAATAATATCATATCCCTTATAATGAATTGATATTTCTTAAGTAAGCCGGAGTTTAGGGTCTCACCACTCGGTATTGTCATAAAAAGATAGTCCATCTCATTATATCTATGAGAGGTTATCCCAAATTTAGTAGAAGCTCAGAAGAAATCTAGGCAACCTCTAGGTGGTCTAGGGAGTCCTAAACTCTTCTCAATGAGTTTAGGTGTAACAGCGATTGTTATTCTTCTAATAACAACAGTGGCTGAATCCTCTTATGATCTATCCCAACTACCGTAAAATTCTCTGACTAGTGTAGTGTTGGCGAGCTTGGGTTTTTTAATCATTATAGACTCGATCCCGACTATTGTGAAAATTGTCAATGGGCTGGAACTCAAAAAGTTTATCCAAGTTGAATCCTCTCTCAAAATGGATCGGTCGAGAAGCAAAAGAGAGAGAGGATTCAAACAGTAGCTTCAAATTATCCTACACAATTTTATCAACAAATTTTTGTTTGAATAGTAGCTTTATTTTGGTCTTACATAAAGCTCACATAAATCACAGCCAGTTCTTCTTTGTCACAAAATATTATTATCATAAGAAACACATGTTTGCTATTATACATTAATAATGGCCAATGTATAATACTCTTCAAATATTATTATCATAAGAAACACATGTTTGCTATTATACATTAATAATGGCCAATGTATAATACTCTTCCATAATATAGTAGCTTCAAATTATCAGTTTGCTATTATACATTAATAATGGCCAATGTATAATACTCTTCCATAATATAGTAGCTTCAAATTATCATTCCTTCTATTTTACCTATAAATTTATGTTTGAATAATAGTTTTATTTTCGTCTTACATAAACCTGACATTTCTAACTATTCTTCCATTCTGTTTTCATTTGATATTAATAAATTATATATTAGATTCCATTTTATTTTATTTTTTGAGAATTTACACTTATATTCGGATAAAATATTCAAAGACGGTCAACATAATTGCTATGATAAAAATCACAAAACAATGTGAAAAACTCAATGTAGAAGTTTGAGGACAAGTTAAAACAGACTTGAATGGTCTATTTGGATGGAAGGTAGAGAGAGGAGGGGAAGAGAAATCTAATTTTAACATTGTTTGGGAGTTCTATTTAGGAGGGTGGATGGGAATGAGGGAAAATGTGAGCCAAAATCTTACATCCCAAATTGGGGTGTAATAAAGGGAAAGGGAAGGGGAACATTTCCCCTTCCTTCCCTTCCTTAAGGGGGGGTTATTCGCTGGTGTAATTTGGGGTAAATTATTCCAATGGGGTAATTTTACCCAATAGGATAATTTGAGTGGGATAAAATGGGGTAAAATAGGATAATGAGACAATTTGAGTGGGACAATTAGTATAACATCTTTTTATAATATTATATTTATAGCTCAATTAAATTCAAGTTTAACTTGACATAACATCAAATGATTAAATAAATAATAGTTATAATATAAAATAATATTATTTTTAAGATTATTTTAATATAAAATATTAAAAATAATATAATAATATTAATATTAATCAATCTTAAAATATTTTGATGTTTATTTTAACTATTATGCTAGATTAACAAATTTTTTAATTGTGATAATTATTTAATCATTCATACATCTATTACAATGACGATGATAAAGTCTCAATTATTACAAATAAAATCTCAGTCGGTAACTTAAATCTTAATTATTAGAAATATAATCTACCGGCATATAACTTTGCTCTAGACTTCTTGGGCTACGTTTGTCCCATCCTCCCACATTGTGTTTATCATTTGTTTTCTCTAACGTGATGCAGCTGTCCGTTGTGCTTGTTGAGTTTGTAGGTCATCGTCCTCATCAGAATCACCATCAATCGGAGCAACATTGCGTGGTGCCTCTGGAGGAAGATCAGAAACTTCAAAGTCATCGTTAGAGTTCTCCATCCTCAGAAAATTATGCAGACCGATACATGCCCGGATCATACTTTTTTGTGTCTCATATGGAAAACCTGGACGTTGAGACTTAAAAATTGTAAACCTAGACTTAAAAATACCAAAAATACGTTCAATACAATTTCTAAGTGATGCATGTCGATGGTTGAATAGCTCTTGAGCATTGCGTGGTCGCTGACGGTTGTTAGCTGGGCCAAACTCTTTAAGGTGGTACATCGTACCCCGATAGGGAGCCAAGAATTGTAGCCTATTTGGGTAACCACAATCAACTAGATAAAATTTACCTGCATTAACATTTCTTTAGAATTATAATCAATAAATATAAAATCTAACAAATTGATAAAAAAAAATATTTACCATTTGGAAGTGGAAGACTACATGCACTTCTACTCATTGCATCCTTCAGGACCCGTGAGTCATTGGCAGATCCCTCCCATCCCACTAAGACATAAGTAAACGTAAGATCAAATGTGCATGCTGCAAGGATATTTTATGAAAGATAACCATGTCTATTACGATATGGAGTTTGGTCCTCGCTATACACCATACATGGAATGTGGGTCTCGTCAATAGCACCAATACAGTCCTATATATTCTCATTAACATATATAAAATGTGACTTTAAAATTATAATAATAACAATGAATGAAGACTTATATAGTGTATTTAAATTTCAATACCTTGAAGTAAGGCCAAAAACGAGATTCGGATGTGACCTTTTCCGGTGGTTCGGTAGGAGGAGGAGCCATCCTACAAGGGGCTAATGACACAAGGGTCTGTAGTGCCTTATTGAAACAAACACTGACGGCAAATCGGGATCGATCAAACCTTTCAGTGGTGATGCAATATCGTTGATTTTGAGTAACGGTGAGTAGGAAAATAGCAACCATCTTCTCAACGCTGATATACCGTGTATCTTGTAAATGCCCACGTTCTCGCAAGACCATACACAATTTCATGAAGTAATTCAGAGGCATACGATATATTCGACGAAAATCACGTGGATTGCTATCCATCTTAGATTTCAAATATTGAAGACCAAGGTCCGTATTGCCATGTCTGGGTTGGGAAATGGGTAGATTTATCTCCTCTTGTGATATGAGATGCGAAATACTCGTGACTAGACCTCCTATTTGTGCAGCCATGTTGATGATGCGAATGAGGAGATAATCAGCAATATCCTCATGAAATAGCAAAATAGAAACATTCTGATTATCTTCCATCCTGTATTAATCATGAGATCAAAAAATAGTAAGATTTTCAATACAATATATTCACCAAATCACATTATTTTTGTCAACACACAGCATGTGTAAGAATTCCATCACACAACCAGTAATCAAGCCACGAGATATCCCTATAAAATATTTTAACAAATGCAAACAACTATCCAAAGAAAATTAGATAGAACACTGAACATGTATAATAACAACATGTATGTGCTTAACATCTATGTTCCCAAAAGCATACAAGTCCAAAAGCATATAAGTCCAAAAGCATACAAGTCCAAAAGCATAAAAGCATAAAAGCATAAAAGTAACAACATGTATGTGCTTAACAACATCTATGTTCCCAAAAGCATATCACATAATATTCATTAATAAGCATAAGGATTGTCGTCATTTGGAAATACTCCAGTCAGACGCCAAATCATAAACTTTCTCCTTTGATCATCATTCATCTTCACAAACATATCCTTCACGTCTTGGAAAATATTTTTGACTAAGGACAGTCAATCGTTCTTCATCGATAAATTCTGGAATTGAAGCAACTCCCTCGACTCACGGTTGGTTGCGGCTTCGCAACAACCTCACCTCTGTGACTAACTCTTGTAAAGCTTTACTTATAATTGTAATGCCACTCACCATTTCTTGAACGGCGGGTTGAGACAATGCAGAGGTGGTGGTGCGGGGAGGTGCTCTACGAACATTCCTGCTAGTGCTAGAGGTTGATGGAACAGATTCAGCCACGGGAGTGGTAGGACCTGGCGTGCTATTAGGGGGAGGTGGTGGAGGATCTACTGGTGATTGGGTAGGTTCTGCATCACCCATAGCATCAAGTCCAATGTCATCATCCAATATACCCTCACCCAATGCATTATGTAATAGCTCACTCTCTACACCCTCACAACCTAGGCCTCCAGCTGCTCTCCCACTAGCTAAGTGGCTACCCACAACCATCTGCATATCCTCAAAATTTTTAAATAACTTATCTTTAAGCATTGGTGTATTAGGATGAGCCTGTCAAAAAACAAAGATAACAAATTAATTTTTCTTTTTTGTAATTAGCAAACATAACAATATATTATGTAGTTAGAAACTTTGGGTAATTAAAAATCTAACCTGCTTGTAATTTTCCCACACCTCAACGGAACAAGTAATTCTTTGAGATATTGGGTCCCAACCAAACCCGGAATTGTTCCTCAATAGTAATTCAATTGGTTCAATCTTCCTCTTCCAGCTTTTGATCTTATTCTTTACATGATCAAATTTAAAAGTTCTTCCAAATTTAGCATTCATGAATGGCAACACATTTTGTGTGATGGTATATTTCTTGAAGTTGCCATTATCCATCTTGTTGTCATTATCCACCTCCTCCACTAAAAGCCTTAGTAGCTTTCTATTCTCTTGCTCTGACCATATTACATAGTCACACCTAGCCTTTTTTGCCCTCTCACCATCTTGAGAGTACTCTTCAACATTTTGAGTTTCCGAAGCAAAATTCATCCTACAACGCAAATATCAATAATGAGTTTCAATATTTTGATGATTGAGTCCAGTTATGATTGTTAGCATGGAGGTGATATGTAATGGTATATGTATATATATGTATATGTATTCTGAGATTAAAAATGCCTAAAATGCAATGTATATGTATTCTGAGATTAAAAATGTCTGAAAAGCCTTAGTGGCTATAAGCTGTTCTGCAATAAGCCAGCAACAAGCATTTTTAATAAAGATCTTCATAATAGAAACAGGAAACAGTTGCTAATATACAATCATGAGTTCAATAAAGATCTTTATACAATCAGAAAGCAGTAACTGCTCATGTTTCCAGAAGAATAGCAAATTAATAGGTGTTTTTATGCAGGGGTTAGAGAGGAAACACACCTTGGAACTTACTGATAGGTAAACCTTTGGAACTATCCATTACTTATATTTATTATTTAATACCTAATACAACAAAGAAGATCAAGAACCTTCGAGCTAACCATTAGAACATAATTTAGTCTAAAACCAGGATACTAGCAAAGTGCAAAGTACACAACCACGATCTTTAGAAACCCATGAGTATCTAAAAGCTCTATCTACACCTCATATGATGTGCTCCCGCAAAACTAAAAGTTACCAAACAGTTTGCACCTATCTAGCACAAATTGAATTATCAAGCACACCCATTACTATCACAAAGCTAATCATGATACAAAAATCAAAACACAACAAGATTCATACATTTAGTCCACATAACATAAAAATAGGAGTATTAAAATGGCGGGCTTCTGATGGTGCAAGTTAGCGGGAGATCTGTTTCTTGCTAACTTGCACACCCGCCTGGTTTTTTCATGGCGAAGAAGAAGAAGGTGAGTGGGAGAAATCTCTTCAACATAGGATTGAGAGCAGCGGATTCAAGTTTGATTAGATTGGGGGATCAAATTGATACCAGTTTTGTTGAGGATGATGAAGGAGTCAACAATATAGCCATGGGCTCGACAGGTCCAAAAGGGGAAAAGAAGAAGAAATCAATGGAGGAAATACTCTGATCTTCGAACTTCCTGGTTGATTCTAAGCATGATTTGAGCTCTTCTCAGTTGAATGGAATTCAAGCTCGTCGTCTCATAAGTAAACCTGTTATTTCTTGTGATGGCGCCAGCAGCTCATCTAGGGTTTCTTGGGCAGATGAGGTCGAATTGGAGGTGATTTCTTCTAATTCTAATTTGATTCATAAGCCTTCTAATATTCCTTCTAGAGTTCTTGCCTCCGACAAAGTGAACTCTGAATCGATGCTTGATCTCGACACTGTTTCATTGATAAATGATGTGAATAAGATGTCTGAAGATAAATTGAATGATTTGACAAATTCTATTAAGAAGATCAGAGTAGAAAACATTGATAAAAATCCTGTGGCTTCTAATTTGGAGACAAAGGAGAATGATGTCCAGGATAAGGATGTTAAGATCCAGAATGATGTGGTTAATAGTGAAAAGACAAACAAAACGTTTGCTAGCCTTTTTGCTGATAATAGGAAAGCAGGAAATGGTTTATCTTTGAATTTCTTGCCATCTTCCAATTCCAATACAGTCTCTTTTTCTGCTGAAGAATGGAAGGAAGGAGAAGGTTTATGGAAAAATGCCTTAATTGGACATGTCATAGGATTAATTGTCAAATTTAAATCAATGGAGTCCTATGTCAACAAACTATGGGGTAATATCTCTATACCAAAGGTCTCACTAATCAAACAAGGATTATTCCTATTTGACTTTCAATCAGAAGCTTCTATGAGAGAAATTCTTGAAGCTGGCCCCTGGTTTTTTGGGTCCAGACCTCTAATGCTGAAACCATGGAGTATTGATGCTGATATTGATAAGATGCAAGACTTTTACTATCCTATGTGGGTGCAATTTCCAAATTTAAGGTTAAACTTATGGAGCTCAATAGGAATCAGTAAAGTAGCCAATTTAATTGGTAAGCCTATTGCAACTGACAAGCTTACGGCAAATAGAGAGAGATTGAGCTATGCAAGAGTTTTATTAGAGGTCAAGTTGCCATTGAAAGATCCATTGCCTGATCAGTTAAACATTCAAGGGCCTGATGGAATAAGCTACACACAATCAGTCATATATGAATATAAACCAAAATGGTGTTCTTTGTGTAGTAAGATTGGTCATGTTACAGAACAATGTAGAAGAATTAAGACTAAAAAGATGTGGGTTCCTGTTATTAGACAGGCTGAAGTTGCTCCTGAGCTTAGCAAAGAACCTGCTATTATTCCTGGGCAAGAGAGTGATTCTGTTATTCAGCAAATACCTGAAGCAAATATCAACACTGAGCAAATTGCTGGAAAAATCAAAGAGACTCTGTCTGCTGGAAAACATGCACAAACTGTAAAACATGCACAGGCTGAAAGTAGAATTGTGGGGAAAGGGTTTCCAGCAAATGATCCACATCTCTACTCAGCTCCAATTGTTAATGCTTCTGGATTTTCTAGCGTCAACAGAACTAATCTAGCAATGAGATCTTCCATAGGCATTGCTGAATTCTCAAGTATACAACTGTCTCATTTCTCTCCTTTAGATAACCCCTCATGTGTTGATAGGGGTGGTAATTCTATCTAAATGCATCTTGCTATTTGGAACATAAGAGGATTTAATAAATCCTCTAAGCACAAGATAGTGAAGCAGTTCATACAAGAATATGATATATCATTAATAGGCCTTCTGGAAACTAAACTTCATGAAAATAAGCTGAAAAAGATAGCTATGCAAATTACCAAAGACTGGAAATGGACTTCTAATATGCATGAAGCCAGGAATGGAAGAATTTGGATTCTATGGGATTCTAATATTTTCAATGTTCAAGTATTAAGCTCAACTGATCAACACATTACTTGCGCCATTGATTCCAAAAATGGGAAGTTTTCTAGCTGGTGTACTATTGTTTATGCTCAGAATCAAATGGCCAACAGAAAGACCCTTTCGAGAGATCTTCTGGCTCTTAAAAACAATGTCAATGGTCCCTGGATCATTGGAGGGGATTTCAATACAATTTCTAGCTATGATGAAAAGATTGGAGGTATACCAGTTTCTGATGCTGATATTGAGGATTTTCAAAATTTCATCAGTGCAAGTCATTTACTTCATCTAAAATCAATTGGATGCTACTTCACATGGAATAATAAACAGGATGCTGTTAACAGAATCTGGTCTAGATTAGACAGATGCTTGGTCAATGAGGATTGGATCAATCAATATACAACCAGTCAAGTGGAGTTTCTGCTGCCTAGATGTTCTGATCATTCTCCTGCCTTGTTAACTATTGAAGATGATGTTATAAAGGGTAAAAGGCCATTCAAATTCTTCAACATGTGGGTAAAAAATCCTGAGTTCATCCCTACAGTCAAAAAAGTCTGGGAGCAAAACATTGAAGGTTACAAAATGTACAGTTTCCACACAAAGCTCAAGAAGTTAAAGCTTGCTCTCAAGGAACTGAACAAGAAGCATTTTATGAATATAAGTAAACAAGTGCATAGAGCAAAAGATGAGTTAGCTGATACTCAAAGGCTGTTAAATGGTGATCCCTTCAGTTCAGTTTTGATCAACAGAGAAAAGGAGTGTATCAAAAAATATAACAGATTACTGGAATGTGAATCTTCCTTCTACAAGCAAAAAGCTAATATCAGTTGGAGTTTAGAAGGAGATAAAGGCTCTAAATTCTTCCACTCTATCATGAAAAAGAAAAGACATCATAATAGAATCCTTACACTATATAATGAAAGAGGAGATAGAATCACTGATAATGAGGGTATTATATCTGAAATTGTTGGATTTTACAACAAATTGCTGGGAACCTCAGTCCCTACATCTGATCCTGATCCGATGGTGATTGCTAATGGACCTCTCCTCTCACATGATCAGAGACAAGCTCTTAGTACCCCAATTACAAGAGATGAAATAAAAAAAGCTATCAGCTCCATGTCAAATGATAAAAGTCCTGGCCCAGACGGTTACAGTGCTTTGTTCTTCAAAGCCTCCTGGAGTATTATCAGTGAGGAACTTTTCTCAGCAGTTGAAGAATTCTTTACCTCAGGGAAACTTCTTGGTACAATCAATACTACCTCCATAACCTTAATTCCAAAGATCCTCAATCCACAATATGCATCTGACTACAGACCTATATCCTGCTGCAATTGTGTGTACAAAATCATTACTAAAGTCATTGCAACTAGAATTCAGGGAGTAATGGGATATCTGATAAGTGATGCTCAGAGTGCATTTGTAAAGGGTAGACTTATATCAAGTAATATCCTCTTAGCTCATGAGATTGTTAAACACTATGGTAGGAAACATTCTTCTCCTCGTGCCATTTTGAACATTGATTTGAGAAAGGCTTTTGATACAATCTCCTGGGATTTCATCAGAAAAATGCTGATAGGATTGAAATTTCCTGATAATATGACTTCTTGGATCATGGAATGCATTTCAACCCCCAAGTTTTCCATCTCAATCAATGGTGTTCTTCATGGCTACTTTCATGGGGCTAGAGGACTGAGGCAAGGTGACCCCTTATCCCCATACCTATTTGTTATTGGAATGGAATACTTATCTCGGAAACTCAGCACTCTCAAAGAGGACAGAGCTTATAAATTCCATCCCAAATGTTCGAGGCTGAACATAACTCATCTAGTGTTTGCAGATGATCTCCTCATGTTTGGAAAAGCTGATATAGGTACAATTTCAAAATTAAAGGACTGCCTAACAGAATTTAGCCAAGTTTCTGGCCTGGAACCAAATCCAACTAAATGCTCCATATTTCTGAGTGGGATTGATGATAGCCAGAAAAATCAAATCTGTAACTCCCTTAGCTTCTCGGAGGGGGTTCTACCAGTGCGCTATTTGGGTATGCCTCTTATCTCTAAAAGACTCTCTTGCTTAGACTGTTCTCCTCTTATCAGCAGAATTTCTGAACAATTTCAAAACTGGCTTAAAAGGAAACAATTATCATATGCTGGCAGATTACAGTTGATAAAATCAGTCATTATGGGAATTCAGATCTATTGGACTAGTAACTATATTCTTCCCATCAAAGTGCTTGAAAAAATTGATAGTATGTGTTCTGACTTCTTATGGGGTCACAAAATTCATTTAGTGTCCTGGGAATCTGTATGTCAGGGGATTGACCATGGTGGCCTGGGGTTGTTTTCAGCTAAATTTTGGAATTACGCCATGGCAGCGAAGCTCCTTTGGATGATACATCTTAAGAAAGATATTATCTGGATTAAATGGATTCACGGTCACTATCTGAGACAGAATAATATCTGGCAAGTCCAATCTAAGAAATCCGATTCATGGCTGTGGAGGCAATTGCTGAGAGTGAGAAATTTGCTGATTGATAAGCTCGGAGGTGTTAATAACTTGCAAAATGCCATCAGAGAAAGCTGTATTAATGGCAAGCTCAGTGTATCGGTGATCTGCAGGAATCTTTTTCAACAATCTGACCTGGCTACATGGGCAGGGACTGTATGGGGTGGATGGCATATATCTAAACATTCCTTTATCCTCTGGTTGGCAGTTCAATCAAGACTCTTAACACAAGAGAGACTGTGTAGAATGAGGATATTGAGCTCCAATTTGTGCGTTTTATGCTCTAGGGAAGGTCAAACAGAAACATGTCACCATCTGTTTTTTGATTGTCTTTATTCTGCAAGGGTGTGGAATAAGGTAATGGATTGGTTATGTTTCAACTGGAGATCATGTGGGTGGAACCAAATCATTAATTGGTACAGCAGGAGCTTGAGGGGGAAAAATTACAAAAAAAAGTTGAAAAGAATGGCATTATCCGTATCAGTGTACATGATATGGCAAGAGAGAAATTTGAGAATCTTCCAACAGAAATCAAGAAGCTCGGATTATCTCTTTAGTATGATAAAGATGCAAGTGTATACAAGAATTTTAAATGACAAAATACCACACTATATGAAAGAATATGTAGATAAATTGTAAAGTTTGAAGACTGGATTCTATAACCAGTCTTGAGTGAACATTCTCTTGATGTACTTATTACTTCCATACTTGGTAAATGAATAAAATTTTTCATTGACCAAAAAAAAAAAATACTACTAACACTCGCCATTCCAATGAGACAGTCAATTATATTATAGTCACAAAGACAGTTAAGTTAACATTCCAGAGAAAGAATCAGAGACAACAGAGGGACAATGACAGGTGACAGTAGCAATAAATCAAGAGACCAAATTTCTCTTTTTCCTTTAGTTATCATTAGGAGTAATACAAGGAGGGTAAGAAGCAACAGAGAGCACACCCATTCTCTTTTTTTCCCAATGATGCCACAAATTTTTATTAACTTTACACTTACATTACATGTGTTGAATGTTCTGCTTAAAATGCATCAAGTGATTATCATGTGATATTTTTGATTCATCCCTAAAATCCCTAATTCATTTATTCTATATCAACAAGGCACTCAAATTTTGGTAATAAAAAGATTTCTAGTTCACTTTGCATCTGCCATTACCTGATTGTAAGTTTTTTTTAGTCAAATATTGCAGGTAAGACAATGTTCTTCTTAAATATATATTCACATTTGTTGAAAGAGCCTTACCACAAATTCAACATAATAATTCAAAAAAAAAACCATAAATGAGCACGAGAATGACAGCGGAGGAGATAGATCCAGAGATTGTACATGGTGGGGAGGGCGTTCCGGAGCGAAGCGAGGCTGAGGGATGGCGCGGCGACCGAGCCCAGAACGACGGCGACGGAGCGGGCGTTCGAGGCTCCGAGAACGACATCGTCAGCGTCAGCGTCAGCGAAGCGGCGGGACGAGCTAAGGACAGCACCGCACGGAGTTCGAGTCGAGAGAGGAGGCGGCAGGAGGGCCCGACTCAGGCTAGGAAGACCCAGCGCCGCTAGAACTCGAGGCGGAGAGACGAGGTCGGATCTGGGGCGTCGGGTCTCCAACTGGGTTTTTTGGTTCCAGCGAAAGAAATGGGGCAAAATTTGGGGGCAAGGCTGAACTTTGCTTTTATAGGTGGGATAAATTGGGGGAAAGTGGGGTATTTATCCTAGAATTACCCCAACAAACCAATAACACCACAAAGATTACCCCAGTTCCAATTACCCAATGAATAACACCAAACATTGTTGTTCCAAAAATTATCTCATTACCCCAACAATTACACCAACGAATAACCCCCCAAGTCATCTCCCAAACACACCGGAAAACATTCAAAAATATTTTCAATAATAAACAATCAATGGGTATTTTTCTCCCTGAACAAGTACCAAATTTTCAAATAACTAATGAATAAAGCAACCAAACATCCATCTCAATTCACATTGATTAACTAATCTGTTTCTGCACATTTATGTGTAAATTTTAAATTGTGTAGACACTCGAAACTTCCGTCTAATGATTTGACATAAACTTTTGTTTTTTCCTTTGAGTCACCACCCTTTGTTCGTCCACGGAAAAAAATTCAAAACAAGCAACAGGGATGTCTATACTAGTAATACGGAAAAGAGAACATGCGAATCCATCAACCAAAGTCATAAACATGCCATAATAACGGGAAATTAACCACAGATTATTATGGTGGCAGTATATACTATTCTAACAATAAATAGATGCAAATAAAAATAATATCATATCCCTTATAATGAATTGATATTCTGGAATCTGAACAATCTTAGAATAACAAAGAAAAAAATCACCTTTGTATTATTTCCAAAACCTCCCAATCCGAGAACTTGATTTCATCACCATCGACATCATCCATCATCAAGAGTGTAGCGGAGGAGAACAGAGCCATCCCCCCTAATTGCATGCCAAATTCTCATTAATAATATAGAATATGATTTTGTTCTTCGTGAGATTGTAGAGAACAACGAATTTTGGATGATATGATAGATGAGAAATGACTTGGAAGCTGCGAGCAGCGGCGGAGATTTAAAGCCCTAGAGTATAATCGCTCACATTTCCCCACTTCAATCTATACCGTCCATTAGATCCAACGGTGTGCGCCATAGGAATTTGAATGGCAAACTTGCAAATAAATCTGAACTTGCCCGTCTCGACTCGTGGGCATGAGTAACGACTCGTCCCTCAACATCGTACGTGGTAGACATGTTATGCACCCGTTTTTTACCTAGGCCTTATATCATGAATGTCACTTATAAACATTATAAAGTTTTTCTGTTTTGACACTTATATATCTTGACTTATTTTTTGTAGAGGGAAAGATAACATATGTTGCTTAAAATTTAGCACGTTTGTGTACTCAATCATAGAAACGTGAAAGTTTTCACCCGAATATGATACTTGCATCTTAATTTTTAGAGTTTTTTTAACTATTAATTATTGTAATATTTGCTATTAAATCTACAAAAAATCCTTTTAAAACTTATCTTAATTCTATTTTAAATAACGTTGTGATGTATTTAATGATAAATTTAACAAATATTAATGTTTATAAAGTTGTAAAATTAACATGCTGGTGTAAAAAAATTCACGTTTACATGATCGAAAATAGCAAATGTCGGTTTTAAAAAACTTATGATATTTATATACCGAAAAATAGCTTTACAGCATATATATGACAAAACATGAAAGTTTGTGGCATTTATGTGTTATTTAGCCTTATATTTACCTTAACGCAGAAAAGATTTTATTTTTATTTTTATTTTTTGGGGGGGGGGGGGGGGGGCAGCAATGTTTTTTGAAGAAAAACATGTGGATGTAAAGCAAACCATGATATCAATGTAGCCTAACAAACTATTCCAATGTCTCAGGTTTGACTCTCCTGAGGAGCACCAACAAAAATTTAATTTCCTGAAATATCCGAGACCATGCATTGGGGGATGCCCCCTTAGCCACACCTTTGGCTTTGATACGCATGGTTCGTAGCATTGTAAGAAAGTTCCCTCGTCAACCAAAAAAGAATGTAGTCTAACAAACAATTTTAACATAAACACAGCACCATTTCATTTCATAACTTCAAACACATTTTACCAAAAACATGTGACAAGCAATGACCATTATGTAAGGAAGTGACGTATTACTGCAATATCATACTCCTTTTAAAAGCACGAGTTCATGAAAATCTTTCAATGGTCAACATTACCCTTCACTATTTTGAATATTTCATTTATATCTTAATCTATCCTAATCATAATTACACTCTATCCTAATCCTACGTGAATTATCTATAGCTTAACAATTTAAAAAGTAATATTAATAAAATATATAAAACATTTTTATGGTATTAGTTTGTTAAGATAAAGAAATTATATGTAGCTCACATACTATAATACATGAAGTATTGCAAAAAACCCTAAAAAGTTTTAAAATTGCACAAAACATCTTGAAAATTTTAAAATTATAAAAACCATCGCGATGTCTCAAAACTTAGAATAACAAACATAAAATTAAGAAATTAATAGCAGTTTGTGAAGAATTTAAAATTTGTAGTTAGCACCTCAATGTCTCAAAAATTATAGAAACACCATTAAAAGTTCATAAACAAACAACCTGAAATTCTAAAATTTCATAACTTGTAAACAACATAGATGAATTTAAGGGATTACCCTGCTGCACCAAAAAATTTCTAACATTTCAAAACTTAAATCAAGAAACATGAAATTAATAAATTAATAGCAGCCTCTGAAGAATTTAAAATTTTCAATTAACACCCTCAATATCTCAAAAATTATGGAAACAACCTCAAAAGTTTAAATTATAAAAACTCTCCCTAAAATTCTAAGATTTGCCAATAATAAAAGATGAATTCAAGATATTAACCTCAGACACCTAAAAATTTAAAATTTATCGAAATTAACCTTAAAGGTACAAAAATTGTAAAAAAAACTCCTTCAAAATTTAAAAATCATAAAAAAAAACTCTAAATTTTCAAAATTTTTAACAAGTACACATCAAATCTGGAAACTATTAGTAGACCGCTGAAAATTTAAATTTTTTAAAAATTAATCTATAGTTTTAATAATTGAAAAAAGTACCCCTCAAATTTTTAAAGTTGCAAGAAATATCCTGAGATATAAAAAAATTACCACCGACACATGAAACATAGAAGTTACAACTACGAAACTTAAAAAAAATAAAAAAAAACTATCCCAAAGTTTTAAAAACTACAAATCACACTCTCAAAGTTCAAAACCATAAAAAAGGGCTTAAATTTTAAAACTTGGCAAAGAAAAATATAATTGTTGGTATTTTCATTAAGATATGTCTGTGTGTGTGTGTGTGAGTGTTTGTATGTGTGTGTGTGTGTGTGTGTATGTGTGTGTGTGAGTGAGTGTGTGTGTGTGTGTAATTTCCAATTTATGGTTACTATCAATCCATTTTCAGCATCTAAAAATAGTATAAATTGATACTGGTAAACAAAAGCAATAAGAATTGATTAAAACATTCGGCTAAGGAACAAAAATTTTAAAAATATTATAGCTTAAAATTATCGTCACTATATAAATTAAAGTAACTACATATAATTTTACTAACAGGTTGGAGCAGGAAAAATACATTACTAAACTAATTGATAAATGTTTAAATCCATAAAAATGATAAAATATTATAATATAATAGCTTAGCATTAATTAATTATAATTTAGAAACATTAATTTATGATGCTAATAATATTTATAAGGTAAAAGAATACAATGAATTACATATAGAGGAACTATTAGAATGTTCAGAAATACCCTTCAAAAGAATTAAGCTATTTCCATTGCAAATGAGAAAGTAATGGAAATAAATTTAAAATTCAAAAAATGTCCAAAAATCACTTGAATTGGCATTAACATAAAGCATATCTGTTAAAGAAGCACCGGCTGAGTTGCGTTAAAAAATAATTTAACAACTTTATCCCAATTAAAAAAGAATTCTCCATGGAAGATATAAAAAAATTAGTAAGTACTCACAAATTTCATACTTTGATCTTCAAATACTAAAGAAATTAAATATTAATATTATAATTTATGACAAATTGGTAATGAAAAATACAAGTATTTAGTTTAGATCTTTGTGAAAAAGATAGGGATAGAGCAAATATAATATTATTGACATAATAGAAACTCTTATTGGATGCACATCAGAAGAATTCATTGTAGGAAAAAAAAGAGGTAGATTTTAATCTTATTTAAGTACTAAATTAGGATCACAAAGAATTTCATATATATATATATATATATATATATATATATATATATATATATATATATATATATATATATATATATATATATATAGAGAGATGAGAGGAGAGAAGAGAGAGAAGAGAGTATTAATGGGTTATCCTTGTCATAGGAGGGGATTTTCCTCCTTGACGCTCTAAAATCATATGATGAGCGACATTGTGGATGATCCGCCTCCGTTGAACTTGATCTACATATTCTAAAACCCCAACACACCAAGTTTGGGGTGAACCCGTCGTCGTGTTGACCCTTCATCCACTCGTATCAATTTTAACGGTTTTGAATGAATAGAACTTTTCACATGGCTCGATGAAGGGTCAAACGACGACGGATTCACCCCCAAACTTGGTGTGTTGGGGTTTTAGAATATGTAGATCAAGCTTCAAGCGAGCGGATCATCCATAATGTCGCTCAATCATGTGATTTTTAAGGCGTCACAGGAGGAAATCCCCTCCTATGACAAGGATACACATTAATCTCATATATATACTATATATATATATATATGATATAGTATATATATATATTATATATAATATATATATATATATATATATATATATATATATATATATATATATACATATACATATTTATTCTCATTGAAAAAACATCAAAGTCTATATTTTAAGCAGTTTGTGTTGAACATCGGAAATACATTTGACTTATTTGAAAAGTTAAATAAGTAGATAAAAGATTAACGAGCCCAGGAAAGATAACAACATAAAAAATACAATTCTAGCTTGATGTCACAATCGATGCAGATGATAAAGCCACTACTCTAGAATTGCCCGGGAAAAAGAAAAAGGTGAAGAATGATTGATCTTAGCTCAATAAAAAAAACTAAAACAGAAGGAATAAAAGACAATTTTTTCTTAAATATATTATAGAATAGTTTAATTATTTTGAGTGAAATTAGGAATCTTTATAAGGGAGTTCCATGAACTTTTTTTAGTATTTTTATATGCTTATGTGGATGCTTTTATCATATAAAAGTATACTAGAGTTAGCATTAATCTTAAATTTATAATTTTTTATGAAGTCTATCAATAATTAGGAACAAACTTCATATTTCTTTTATATCATTTTACCATACTTTTAATCAATCATTTTGCTTTATTGGTATTAAATATTCACCTAATACTATTTTAATATTTTCACTTTTGCAACACTATATTTTCTCAAGTAAAGCTTGGTTTCATATCGGTCAAAATAATATGAAAATTTAAATTAGCTTCAAATTATATTTGTTTTCTATCAATTCAAATATCAAAAGTCAAAATAATATGAAAATTTAAATTAGCTTCAAATTATATTTGTTTTCTATCAATTCAAATATCAAAATAAAAATTTAAATTGGGTGTAGAAATTATATTTGTTTTCTATCAATTCAAATATCAAAATAAAAATTTAAATTGGGTGTAGCACATTTAAAAAAATCACAATATAAAAGTTTAGAGACAAAAGTGAGCACAAACTATTAAAGTGGAACTGATGAACAAATTTTAGTTAAAACGTTAGCCAAAAATACATAATCATGATATTTAACCACGTGCATTGCACGTTTATAAAATCTAATTGTATAAAAATACAAACTTTTTAATAATAATAGCTTAAGAATTTTGTTTAAACTAAACTACGTGCCGATTAATTTAGAACAAACATGTAGCAAAATCACAGTAAAAAATAGTAAATCACCAACAACTTAATACAGAT